CTTCCTTCCTTCCTTCCTTCCTTCCTTCCTTCCTTCCTTCCTTCCTTTGAGGGAAGGTTTCTCTGTGTAGCCCTGGCTGGATGGGAACTCGCTCTGTAGACCAAGCTGGCCTTTAACTCAAGAGATCTACCTTCCCCTACAGTGCTGAGATTTGAAGTGTGCACTGCCACCACCTGGCCTAAAGAAGGTTTTGTGAGAATAGTTCATTCAAGTAAAACCTGGACCCGTGGAAAGGAAAGGAGGCAGATTCCTCATTAGGAAAGAACAGGTGGGGTGAGGGGGGCTGGGAGGAGAGTGAGGGGGAAGTGGGGACACTGGCTGTCCTGACTCTTGTAAGCTTCCTGCCACATACTTACCGTGAACCTCTTCTTTTTCTCTCTGTGTTCGTCAGAGCTGGGAATGCTTACACTTGGGCAGCTCTCCTTGTAGTCCATGGCACAATCTCTCTGCATTTAAGGTCTTGAAGGACACAGAAATTGAGTCTGAAGTTTCAATTTTCAGCAGAGGGTAAATATGATTAACTAATCCAAAATATGAAACCTCTTGAGGTAATGTTCAAACTCCATCATGGAACCTTAAACAACAGGAAAAAAACATGATTAGAAAATCAAAACAAGGCTGGGCAGTAGTGGCGCACGCCTTTAATCCCAGCACTTGAGAGGCAGAGGCAGGCAGATTTCTGAGTTCGAGGCCAGCCTGATCTACAGAGTGAATTCCAGGGCTACACAGAGAAATCCTGTCTCGAAAAACAAAACAAAACAAAACAAAAAAACAACAAAACAAAAAAAACCAAAAAAAAAGAAAGAAAGAAAGAAAGAAAGGAAGAAAATAAATTAAAAAAAAATCGTGATGAGGCTGCAAAAATAGCCTAGCATTCAAGAGAGCTGGCTGTTCTCACAGAGTACCAGAGTTCCTAGCACCAACATTAGGAGGCTTACAACTTCCCATATCTCCAACTCCAGAGTATCTGATGCCTCATCTGGCCTTTGAAGGGGACAGTGTGTGCAGGCTTCATCCCAGAGATGTAGGAATGGTTCAATATATGAAAATGAATAAATGTAATTTACCATAAGAACTGAAAGAAAAAACACCAACACGATCATCTCATTAGATACAGAAAAGACCTTTGACAAAGTCCAACCCTCCTTCACAATAACAGCCTTGGAGAGATCAAGGATACAAGGAACATACCTAGACACAATAAAGACTACATAGAGCAAGCTGATAGCCAGCATCAAATTAAATAGAGAGGAACTCAAAGGAATTCCACTAAAATCAGAAACAAGACAAGGTTGTCCACTAATCTCTCCAAAACTTCAGGATAGTACTTGAAGTCTTAAGAGAAGTAAGACAACTGAAGGAGATAAAGAGAATTGGAAGGAAAGAAACAAGTCTTCTTATTTGCTATGATATGGTAGTATATACAGATGATGCTAAAGATTCCCAGCAAGGAAATTCTATAGCAGATAAACACCTTCAATAAAATACCTGGATACAAAAATAATTGATAAAAATCAGTAGCCCTTCTACATACAAATGATAAATGGACTGAAAAGAAATCAGAACAACTACACATTTTACCATAACCTTGAATAATATAAAATATCTTAGGGTAACTCTAAACAAGCAAGTCAAAGACTTATATAATAAAAACTTCAAATCTTTGAAGAAAGAAGTTGAAGAAAATATCAGAAAATGGAATAATTTCCCATGCTCATGCATAGGTAGAATTAACATAGTAAACATGGTGACCTTACCAAAAGCAATCTACAGATCTAACGCAATCCCCATCAAAATTCCGACACAATTCTTCACAGATCCTGAAAGAATCAATCTTAGCTTTATATGGGCACAAAAAGCTCAGGATAGCTAAAACAATTCTGGACAATAAAGGAATTGCTGGAGGTCTTACCGTTCCAGATTTCAAGTTATACTACAAGCTACAGTAATAAAAACGGCATAAAAAGACATGTTGATCAACAGAATTGAACTGAAGACCCAAACACAAATCCAGACACATGATCTTTGATAAAGAACCCAGAAACATACACTGGGAAAACAAACAAAACAAACAAACAGACAAACAAAAACATCCAGCATTCTCAACAAATGGTGTTGGTCAAACTGGATGTCTCCATGTAAAACAATCCAAACACATCCATGTTTCCCACCATGAACAGAACTCAACTCGAAATGGATAAAAAGGACCACAACCTAAAAGTAGATACCTTGAACTTGACAGAATATAAAGTGGGGAATAGCTTTGAATTCATTAGCACAAAAGACAACTTCACGAGCTGTTTTTAGCACAGGCACTAAGATTAAAAAAAAAAAAAAATCAAGCCAAGTGGTGGTGGCCCACGCCTTTAATCCCAGCACTTGGGAGGCAGAGGCAGGTGGATTTCTGTGTTTGAGGCCAGCCTAGTCTACAGAGTGAGTTCCAGGACAGCCTGGGCTACAGAGAAACCCTGTCTCAACTTCCCCCCCCCAAAAAAAAAAAAACAATAAATTGGACCTCATGAAACTGAAAAGATTCTGTAAGGCAAAGGATACCATCATTTGGACAAAACAGCAGTCCACAGAATGGGAAAAGGATTTTTCCAACTCCACACCTGATAGAGGACTAATATCCAAAATATATAAAGAACTTAAGAAAGTAGATATCAATAAACTAAATGATCCAATATAAAAATGGAGTAGAGATCGAAACAGAAAACTCACAATTTAAAAAACCCAAATGACTGAGAAACACTTTTTAAAAAATGTTCAGCATCCTTAGCCATCAGAGAAACACAAATCAAAGCTACTTTAAGACTCTATCTTATATGTAAATGGCTAGAATCAGGAACACAAGTGACAGCTCATGCCAGCAAGTATGTGGAGCATGGGAACACAAATCCATCACTGGTGGGACTGCAATCTTGTACAGCCACTATGAAAATCAAAATGACAGCCAGGGCTACACAGAGAAACCTTGTCTCGAAAAACCAAAAAAAGAAAGAAAGAAAGCAAATCAAAATGGCAGCTCCCTAGAAACAAGAAATCAATCTACCTCAAGATCCAGCTATACCACTCTTGGGCATATTACCCAAAGGACAGTCTTCCACACCACAAGGACACTTACAAAACCATGTTCATTGCTGCTCTTCCTAATAGCCAGAAAATGGAAACAACCTAGATGTGCCCCAAATGAAGAATGGATAAAGAAAATGTGGTACATTCACACAGTGGAATATTACTCAGCTGTTAACAAAAATGACACCATGAAATGTGAAGGCAAACGGATGGAACTAGAAAAAATCATCCTGAGTGAGGTAACCCAGACCCAGAAGGATAAATATGGTATGTATTGGGTTATATATGGATATCAGCCATTAAATAAGTGATAATCTATAGCCTCACAGAGGGTAGAAGAGGCTAGGGGAAATGGAATAGATTTTATGAGTGAACTGAGAGAGGGTGGGAGTGGGGCAGATGGGAACAGGAGGATCAGGTTGGGAGGGGGAGAGGTATCGAGGGAGGGAATACAGGGAGAAACAGCTAGTGTTGAGGGGAATCTGAGGAATGAAATAAAAAAAAACCTAGTATAGTGGAAATGTCCTAAAATACATGAAGGCGATCCTAATAAAGCCTCCAAATAATGAGGGAAACACAGTCTTAACTGGCCATCTGTTGTCACCAAAGCTGCCAGTTCCAGTATGAGTTACATCTAATTCAGTTGTTGGCCAATAGGTCCCATGGAAATCTCCAAACAACTCAGGCTGTTGTCAAGACAATAGGTCGTTCTTCCCAAACTGCCTGCAGGAACCCACTGCTGAAGACAACACCTGCACAACCCATGAACACTGGGAGGTCAAGCTGGTGCCTATACAGAACCTTCTAGTCTCTTTGGTACGGAAAAATACTCTACAGGCAACCAAAAGAGAAATGTAAACACTAACCAAGCCACAAAAACTTTGATCTGCAATCTATCCTGCTGGCAAAATATGCTAGGCAATGGTGACACAAAGCTTGTGTGTAGGAGTAACCAACCAATGTCTGCTCTAACTTATAGCTTAAACCATGAGATAGAACCCATACCCAACACTGCCTGAGTGACCAAGAACCAGGCACTAGACAATCCAGAGCTCTACTTTGAAACAAAACAAAGAGTAGTGATAAAACAATATTCTGCTACATTCACAGATTTGTGTCTTGTTCAGCCATTACCAAAGAGGCTTCCTCTAACAGCAGATAAGAACATATACAGAAACACACAGCCAGATATGCAAAGAGAGAAAGAGAGACCTTGGAACACACAACTCTAAATGGGATATCCCCATCAAATCCCTTCCCTCAGAGCTCAGGGAACCCCAGAGAAGAGGAGGTAGAAAGAATGTAAGAGCCAGATGGGATGGAGGACACCAGGGGAATAAAGACATCTAAATCAACTGAGCAAAGCTCCTATGAACCCAGAGACTGAAGCAGCAAGCACAGGGCTGCAGGTCCTCTGTGTGTATTACAGCTTTCAGTTTCCTGTCCTCATGGGACTCCTGGATGTGAGAACTGTGGGGCTCTGATTCTTGCGCCTTCACTTGAGGCTCCTTCTGTTGATTTGTCTTGTCCAACTTCAATGTGATGGTTTTTGTTTTTATCTTATTATGTTTTCTTGTGTTATGTTTGGTTGTTATCTCTTAGAAGCCTGTTCTGTTCTAGCGAGAGACAGCAAGGGAGTGGATCTGAGTGGGAGGAGGTGAGGAGGAGCTAGGAGGAATCCATGGAGGGGAAACTGGGATATACTGTAGGAGAAAAGACTCGACTCTTAGTGAAAGGGAAAAGGATATAAAAATAGGACATATATTAATAAGCGAGAGCCCTTCTATGGAGGGAGAGAATGGTACAGTGACATGCAAGGTGTCACCGGATGGGCACAGCCAGCAGAATGATTGTAACAAGGGCTGGTGTTACTTCCAGGTGTTCTTGGAGGTGTGCAGAAAGCAAGTGACTAGTAGAATGTGGCTCTTTGTGGAGTCTTTACCTTCTTACAGCTGCCAGCAGAAAGGATGAAGAGTAAAGGCCAGAACTTAATGATAACTGGTGACGAGCAATTAAACATCCAACATCTATGCAGTTATAGATGGCACATAAGGGCACTTGCTGGAAAGCAGACCCTGGATGACGGATGCAAGCATTGGGGCAGGAGGAAAGAGGCTCAGAATGATGGCCTCCACTTCCATTCAACTGAACTTACTCAGTTCAACGAAGCTACCTGAGCCCCTCTGGGGACATCCACACTTCCAGTGCCTCCCCATCTCATCCCCATGCTCCACGTGAAACTTTCAAGTTGTTTCCCAAGGAGACACCAATTCCCCTCAGTCATGCTCTCACTTTTATTTTCACATAACCAACTGAGCTTACAGAGAAATTCAAGACAACAGAGAACACACTGAATTCAACCTAGAATTACTGTGACCTGTTAAAAGGCCATGAGCACATACTGCTAATTTTTCTTCACAGTCTTCCCCAAGAGTGATCTGCAGCCACCTCAGACTGGATATCCACTGTAGAAGGGGAACTATGAAACCCTTTCAAAGG